GACTCGCGAAGCTTTTTGAGTTGAGTCCGCAACATGGTGTATTTGGGGTCAGTCGATGGGTCGGGGACTTCAGGCTGGGCGGCATCTGTTTTGGCGCACAAGATTAATACATTGCGAAAAGATGGCCAAGGAGCAGAATGGGGAGGCCGACCTTTTTTTTTCACGATCTGAATCACGAGGCTGCGAATGATCATCATCAAACCAGCCCCAGCTTCGACCAGGTCCCACCGAACCTCGCTGTAGTGAACATTGAATACACCGGCCAATTTTGCCCCCAGTGCAGATTCCACTTCTCGCATTTCTTTGTAATCCATCTGCCATCCTACAAGCGCCGTTGGCGTTTGGTTTTCGGCGGCTAAACAATGTCACAAGCCAACAAATGTCAATGCTCCACACGCGGATGATGTCTCACACCAAGTAGAACGCATACCAAGAAGATCCAGCATATCGAGAAAAGAAGCCCGATTAGCGACATCGTAGCATAGAATCAAGCCGTCCGAATCCGGCGTCACCTGCAATGCACGATAGTTGTTAGTTTCATTTCCGAGAGAGACATTGGCTTTGCAAATCATACCCTCAAGTGCACCGGCCGATCTGTCACGTGCAATATATCGCTCTCATTCACCATGTATATACGGACAAAGCACTGCTGATCACGCAAATACAGCTGATACGTCTGCCATGGTTGTCCTAACGTCAAAGTAAGATTTGAACGAGAGATCCTTCCACTCACAGGGTCGTGCGAACGTGAAACACCCACCATTGGACGTGACATGGGTTGCTTTCGTTACGACACTCAAGCGTTCCACAAACTCTCCTACTCGAGTATGAGGTATCCCAACAACAGCGATGGAGAATGCCCGGAACGTGTTTTGAGAAGGCTCGACATTCTATGGAAGCACACGAAAAGTCAAAGTCCATTGTGGAATCCATTTTAAATAGACCTTGCGTACCTGAACCATTCCGCGTTTCACCCCGTCTCTTGTAGAGAACTGTATTTCGTGAACGGGTAGAAGCCACTTGGTCAAATTTTGAAAGTAACTCTCGTTGTTATTCAGCAATTGTAGTGTTGCACGTTTTATAGGTCTGAGCCCTGAGCTGTAAGGTTACAGCAGATTTTCCTCGATAAAATCAACGTAACCGAATTCTCGGGATCGCGTTTTCGATGGGGCTGCGCCGTTCATTTCCTTCTTTGGCGCAAACTTGCACTTCTGTAACAGTGGCGTCGAACTTTTTAAGTTTCTAAAATACTCTTTGGCTCGCTTCCGGCCCACACCTTCCAACAGGATTCGAAGCAGTGTACCCCACCAAAAAAACAGGGCGTGATCTGAGCACAAGGGCTAGAGGTTATGGAGCCCGGTTAAGGCAAAGGACTGTATTGACGCGAACTGGATTGGGAAGCGGAAACAGGTATGGAGCTGTAATAAATTTTTGACAGTGGGTATGTACAGCAAATTAAGGCCACAGCTTTTTGCAGAAAGGAGCGCAAACATAGCAGGCGAGAGATTGAAGCCCTCAGTGAGAACGCTTCGGTATCGTTCCTTTGCAGCGGGACATGTCCACAAGACTAATGTCCACGCATGTAAATCTTTGGCTCTCGGTAGACGGCAGCGCTCCCTCTGGCACCCCTGACGCCAACCTTCATCATTTCACCCCTCCACGCGACTTTATCTGTGCCTTCAAAGTCCGCCTCTTGCAATTTGCAGAACGGATGCGCCAGCACTTGTGCAGCATCGATGAGAACCTCGTCATCCGGTTCCAGCAACTTGGCCAACAAGTCCGCAGCGTTGGCCACCGCAGGATGCCAGTTGGGCTCTCTGTTCATCCGCTGGGCGTCGAGTTTGTCGGTCAACTTTCGAGAAATGTAGGTCGTTGTGGATTTCCGTACAAATGACGAGTTGAGGTAGTTGAGAGCACAATTTGGAACGTACGGTTCCAGCCACCGCCCAAAAAGAGAGCCAAGCGCATGGATATCGGGGGCTGTAAAATCGGGCGGCGGTGGAGCGGCTGCTGCGTTGCTAGTGGCTGCAGTAGCCACTGGGGAGGACACCGAGGGTGGTGGCGGTGGAGGGACGAGGAATTGGGCATCCCCCCATGATGTTATCAGCAATGATGAAGATTCCGAGTCTGCCGGACCGGTAAGCATCAGCGTGGATGGCGAGATGCAGGTATGCGCTATCTTGAGACCGTGAATCCCGTTCAAAGTCTATCCAATTAGAAAAGGGAGCCAGTGTCAACTTTCGCCTTGAAAAACAAAAAAGACATGCAGCGCACGAGGACTGGCCAATCTCAAGCTTACCTCGGCCATAGCGCGCACCCATCGGGCAATCACCACCAAATCGACGTCCGCAAAGTTTGGCAGATTCTCCAATTTGCGAAAAACCAGAACGGTTCCGCTTCCCGTGTCTCCGTCTTCAAATGAATCCAAGAGGGCCACGGCGTTTGGGATCCGATTGTCTCTGAGCGTCCGCAAGACTGTCAACTCGTGCGCGATCCTCGCCTGCGAGGAGCCTCGCTTCAGCACGACGGACATGCCGGTCAACGTATCGTGAGCTGGGGTCAGCGTCGCATGATGAGTGCTTGTCTAAGTACAAGCCATGACGAGAAGATGTGGGTGAGATAAGGTTGCAGTAAATCCACGATTGGGGGGGGGGGAGGCGAGTGACCCACAATTGGCGGCAGCGAGGCATCGGTTGTATAGCGATCTCGAGCGCGCAAGACGGCTGGTTCTGGCAGTGGTGGAACAGACGTCGGAGAACCTGACGCAGATTGTTGTAGGCTCATATCAGCCAGTTTGGCGGCCAGGGGGTCTGTTAGTGGTGAAGCCGTCATTGCTGGGTGTGACCTGGGCTGTTGTTAAAGAAAGGTGTCGGGGGGAAAAACCGAGAGGAAAGAGAATCTTATGCTAACCCTCCTTTCGGCGGTCGGTGATGTGAAGCTAGCTTATTTATGAATGTGGAGATTTTTAAAGATTTGCTTGTGTGGAATGTGATGACTGGTTGGGAAAAGTGGTGGGAGGAACGGAGGGGTACGGAATAGGGATGATGTGATGGGAGATTCTGTTATCGCCAGACTTGGCCAGTCACGTGATGATAACAGGGAATCTCGCGCGCACCAGGCGACTGCGCACAACACAGCCATTTGCTCGGATCCGTTTCGATGAACTGCACATGATTGAATCTCAGCCGATGCTTATATACATCTATAGCAAGAAGTGTTCTCCGCTCTGCAGCGAGAGTCCCAATATCTGGTAATCCAATCTAGGGAGCCATGTTTTTGACTCTATGCATCTATCTATGTACACGATGGGTATGTTCTACAGAAATGTAATAATGGGGGAATGAAAGAAAACGCAATGTCGCATTGCTAGCGTGTCGTGTGCTGTCATTTTGTCAAGCTGGTCACAGTATGACAGGTTTTCCCACTGCAAACATGAGTTGACGCATCATGGGCGAAAAATTCCCAGTTTCATCCCGCACATGGAGGAGGTGAACAGGGTACGTAGGTCGTTCGTAAGAGGCCTCGCCATCGTCTCCTTTCCATGAGCAGACAAAGACGCAAAAGAGGGGAAAGTTCCGAGAATTCGAGTCTTTCGACCGGCCATAAACGTCCCACCGCTGCACCACTTTGAATCCAACCTCGGATGCCGCGTGTTCGGTCCTGGGTATCTCGCGTCCAGTCTGGCAAACGACGAATCGGGCTTCTGGATTATCTCGCGTCAACGCCTTGGCAGCGGCCTGCATATAAGTTTCGATTCCTCCACGCAGTTCAAATGAGCACATTCCGCGTTGCGGGTGTGTCGGGAGTGAGCCGTGGGTTGTGGGAAAGTAAGGGGGTGTGCCGGTGACCAGGTCGTAGCTGTTGGGGCCGTCTGGGGGCACCAGTGAGCCTGCCGCAAGGTCTCGGAGATCACCGTGGATGATGGTCGTGAGGGGAACGGTGCCATTGTACGCTGCGGTGCGAAGCGCAAGCTGAACGTGTGTGGTTTGCGCTTCTATCCCTGCCGCGCGGACGAGATGGGTGGTGGATGAGTGGTCGGCGAGCAAGCCCCAGGTCACCATGCCGAGCACGGATCCCAACCCGGTTCCAATATCGAGGTACTTTATGGGTGTGGGCTGCGATTGGAACTCTCTGGACGCAGCGAGAGCTCCCACCACGCGCAACGCTATCGCAGCCGTACACACGTCGTCTGTAGTGTAGCGATGCTGATCGCAGAGTTGATAAATCATCCATCCGCCGGCCAGAGAAGTTAGCATTTCGCCTGGCCGCGGCGCCCAGTCTCCTCCATCTCGCCCAGTTGCTGCCGACTCGACGTTTCCCCGCGGCGCCGGTCCGCGCATCGTCCACCCCTCTAGCGCTTTGAACGGGCGTACTGCCGGTTTTTGCTTTTTGCTCGCGCCATTGGACGGTTCGAGTTGGTGACCAGTTCCCTTGCAAGGTGCACATGGTTTCATCGCAGCTGGAGACCGTCGAGGTTGCGGGGCGACCGCGGTTTTCCCATCCACTGTCGCGCCCGCTCCACCCTCAGTGACAACTTTGGGTCCCCTCACCGTCTTTACTCCCTTGACTCGAACAGAACCACTTCCACCGCATTTCCAACATACTGTCGCCAATGGTCCTTTCCCTGCTGGTGTCAATGGCGACAGACTTGGCTGAGACTCCTGTGGCGACAGACTTGGCTGAGACTCTTGTGGCGATAGCCTTGGCTGAGACTCTTGTGCCAACAGGTGTTTTGTGTTTTCGACGTAACGGTGGGTTGCTGAATGAAAGAAGAGGGGAGTATCGGTGTCGACCAAACGACAGGCGTCCATGCTAGGTGACCGAGCGCTGCTATGCGGACCGGCAGGACCTGCTGGTGCTGCAGTCATATTGCTGGGTGACGAGACAGTTGACAGCGGGAACCTATGCAGTGCAGGAAAGCCTATACAATGAATTCCAGGAGAGAGAACGAAAGCGCATTCCCTCTTCCATGTGCCCAGGGAAAAGACAAAAAAGTTTTGAGGAACCACTGAGAGTTGAACTCAGGACCTGCCGCTCTGCAGGCGGCCGCTATAACCACTTAGCTATGATTCCTTTTTTTCTAGGGGGGTGGAATGTGCCTTTCCAAATTCGGATGCTATCACGGGAGAACTACTGCGAAATGGCACGTACGGACCCCCGACTTTTGGCCCGAGACCGGAGGACCCTTCGCTTGCGCCTGCGTCTGCTCTGCCCGCGCGCCGACTGCTTGCAGCTCGCCTGGCTCCCCTCCATCTCTTGCAATTGCCTTCGCACTTGCCCTCGCAATTGCCTGCCTGTTTTTGGTCCCCTGCACACCCTGCATCTGCCTACCTACAGTACCTCGTTGGTATGTTCCCACGGTTCCCTGACACAACCTTTTGCTGGGGCCGTTCGTTCCCCAGCAATTAAGGTGGGGCAAGTCCACTGTTATGTGAGCCGTTGCTGAACGTAACTTTGGACCCCTAACCGGTTGTGCCAGGTTGCCCATCAAGTCTGGATCCAGCTCTGCCCTTTTGCTCACACCCTGCGGAAGCTATGCCCAAATTTGCAGAGACCATGAATAACCTCTCAGACCTTGAGGAGGGCGAGCTCCCTGAACCTCGAAAACACGGAAAGCACAGGCCGGGCAAGCATGAGCGCCGGGCTGCAAAGCACAAAGCAGAAAGAGATGAGCAGAGGGAGAGGTATGTTTCCCTGCTTTCGGCACTTTGAGTTATTATTCTTCTGACTCTTTAGCAGTGCTCTCCACCCCCACAGGCGTCTCCAACCCAGGAATAATAAGCGGGACGGTCGAAGCATGACAGAGGACAGTGAGCATTATGGTGAATCACCGCCACGGGCCCACCCATCCACCTGCAACATTCGCTCACATTTTAAGCAGAATTCCAGAACGCAGTTTCTCGCACCAACAGCCTCCTGCCCACGTTCTTCAAAGGTGCCACCGCCATGTCCTTCAATTACACCTTGCCTGTCGGTCCTCTGAGCCACCCTCCCCTTTACCATGTCTGCGCCTGCAAAGACGTGTCCCCTTTTCGCGAGATTGGTGACGAGCCTGCCAACTTGGACCGCAATTCCACTCTGGGTCTCAGCAAAGACCAGCAAGTCCTGTTCTGGCACATCCCTTGGGGAATGGATCACGTACACGCTGATTTGCTACCAGACTTGGAAGCATTTGGAGCAGCTTACCCCCACTCCAAGAAGGGCACTGCCGCCACGGATTGTCGCCATCTGATTGCCGAGGATGATCCTGAACGTGAACGAAAGCTCAATTTTCTTGCAAACTGCTCCCCGCACTACACGGTCCATCTTGGTGTGCATAAAATGTGCAATCTCGATCATGTCAACAAGAAGTTTTACAACATCACACCTGAAAGTACGGATTTCTCCAGCTATTTCTGATATTATTGTCTCATTTTTCCTTTTTTAGGCAGGGGAAGCATTGACAGGGACCGTGCTGTCGTTGCTCTCAAGGCTACACACGACTTCAACGCTTTGGCACGCATTGTGGGGGAAGGGCTGAAGGTTCTGGATGCCAACGTCTCTGCAACCTATAAGGAAGCTTACAATCGCATGGACCCATACTGCAAGGACTTTTGGACAAACACGGACAACGACACCTTCCCATATTTGATCATCATTTACAACGAGTTCTCAAACCTTTACCGTGACCTTGGTGATGCAAAGGATGGATTCTGCACTAGCGTTGGCCTGGAGTCCTTTTGGGGCTACATATGCATTCCTGAGCTTAAAATCAGGATCAGGTACGTCTCGTCTCACACACATGTTGTCTTTGATAGTTTCTGTTTAATTTTTCTTTTGTGTACAGGTTTGCGCCTGGAGATATCATCTATCTACGATCATGGGCTCTTGCACATCAAGTGACAGACATTAAGGGGAAGGAGCGATACTCAATGGTGTTTGTCATGCATGAGGCGGTGGTCAAAAAGCGCAACTAGCTTCTGAATAGTCTAATGTTGAACAATTGACTCTAAGTTATTGTGATGTTGCGCATTGCTAATGTTTATCTTGAAGCCCGATCCAAGGTGAGCAGTTATTTACAGAGATCTTCCCAGTGATGTATATATATATTCAAAACACTAACACAAACAATTGACAGCGGATCACCAACATTAATCTTGCTTCGGGCCGATGAAATACCAACGGCAATCCCAGGTGCCTTTGCCTCCTGGCTTCCGCTTCTGCTTGGTCCCACTGCTCACAATGGTTCGTAAAGATCTGATGTTGGTCATCAGCAGTAGAACACTTCTGCTTTGGCCTGGTGCCCAATCCTTGAGGGTTGCGCTGTACAGGTGATTCCTGTGACGTTCAAGGAACTCTCCGAACATCTGCCAGATAGAGGCAGGAACCAAGGTACCAGCGTTGCCCTTTGGACATGGCACAGTAAAATCAAACACACCCTCCTCTCCAGTGTGAAAGACTCCGCCCTCAGGAAATTCCTCGTTTAGAAACTTTTGGAAGAGCCACAATGCATCGCCTTGGCTTTGGACCCGAGCGTTTTGCCTGACTTTGCGTAGTGGCCCCTCTCCTTGGGGAATAACTATGGGTTCCGCAGCTGGAGCAGCAAACCAGCCAGGGCCTGGGGCCAGCGCAGGAGCGACGCCTGTTAAGAGCTGCCGTTCGCTTGCCCACAGCTGTTCCAAAATGTCGCCATTTTCGACCATGGCAAACTGGGATCTTCTGACAACTCCTTGAGTCCTGCTATTTCCAGGCCGGATGAGGAGTTCACCTTTCTTGTTGAGTAACCCGATACCATCCGGAAGAAAGGTGACGAAGCGTTCCGTGTCGTTGTCAAGAACACCAATGGCCTCTTGGTGAATTGGAACTATAAGAATGTGATCTCTTTCAGCGGGGTCCTTCCAACGAAGAACCATTCGAGCGTTTTGATGGACTATGACTTGACGGCGCTCCAGAACTCTTGTGAAGCTGTAAATTGGATTGTTGACAAAGCGCCGCAAAACACGCTCCTGCTGTTGTTTGGGAGCAAAATGATTTGGAGGAAGCCCCGCTGTCAGTTGCTCTCCTTTGAATTGGAGCGCCTGCTGACGGAGGATGGGATCTTTTATCCAGTCATTCCCAACAACACCAGGTGGTGCCACGAATTGCAAGACATGGACAAGTGGATCAACTCCCGCCGGGAGCAGTGCAGCAGCTTGCAAGGATGACATCATGAGGGATGTGCCCTGGGATAGAGCCAAGCCCCATGCGAAGAAGGCATCTTTCCTGACAGCATCGGTTTCTGGTGGTATGTGCATCATCGTGTTTGGAAGCTGCATTTTCCATAGCGAGGTTACGAGTGAAAGGCGCTCCTGAGATCCTGGAGCTCCTGCAGCATATCCCGCTCTCTGAACCCTTTCCTTGGACCTCTCTGACATCTCTTCTTTGTAGCCAGGGGATTCAAGGTAAAGTCTTGTAGCTGCTGGACGTGCCGCACAATATTGCGTCCAAACAGTACGGAGTGCTGTTTTGGCTGCGTTGAAAGCTTGAAAGAATGCTTGTATAGTGGGATCCGTATTCTGCACACTGGAGACAGCCATGACATGATCCAGTATGGCATCTCTGTCTTGCATGCCTCTGCGGAGACATTTCTGGGCAGTATCGGCTGCAAAAACGGTCAGCATCCATGTGAAGTCCATCACTCGGCGTACTTCGAGTCCAATTCCCATGGTTTGGTACTTGTCGTAGCCTGGATCATAGTGTGCAATTACTAACGTTGAGGAGCCTGCCGGATATGTGTCAACATTGTCGACCGTGATCCAAGTGAGGGGCGCAAAGCTGCATCTTCGAATAGTTTCCACAAGCTCAAGATAATCTTCCGTGGGTATCCCATATGGATGTGCAAAGTGGGCGGAGAGCACAGCAGTGGGTTCTCGCCCCATAGAGACTGTGACTAGCGGCTGCACAAGAGACAGCCAAAATCTCAAAAGTTCCATGACAAATTTTCTTTCCCTGTGTCGCAAGTATGGCCACAGATTAACAAAGGATATGAATTCTGGAGGGAACTCTGACGGGCTCCAACTTTGGGGCAATGATTCCCGAGTAGCTTCATAGTGTTGTAAGCGAGCAAGGTAGTCACGCACAAGGTTTGCAGATCGAAAGACAGATTCCCTTCTAGCATCTCCAAGGTAAGTGCCTCCCAAAAGATAGTGCTCTTTTGTAATGTCTTTACCAACTACCGCTAGTAGTCGGATGTCGCAGGCCACTGATCCAACTCACGTGAGTTGGATCAGTGGCCTGCGACAGGTACAGTTGGATGGTTTGTGCCTATTTTGGGCACTGGTACATTTAGCACGGTTTGCCCAGGGTCATTGGTACATTTGCCATGGTTTGCCAATGAGAAGGCACTTTTGGCGACCTAAGTACAAGTTCAGTTAACACTTTGCGACGTTTTGGAGCTGTGTGTACTCAAAGGTCACTTAGCTGCCGTGTGCTCCCTTTTGGCCTCCCTTCCACCGACGCGTCTGTCCTTGCCCAAGCCACACGTTGTCCGAAAGCCCGCGACTTTGATTACGTAAGCACCCTCTCTCATCTGTGCGTACTTTGCGCCAAAACAGCAAAACCCCCCTGGGAAAGAAGGGTTTATGCCCCAGCATCCAAACGGACACCAGTTGTATTCTTCTACTTAGACCAAGTAGAAGCGCTGAATTGTTTATAGCGCATCCCATAGCTTGATGTATGTGTCCTAAGTGAGCCGCTTGGCTCCTTGTCCTATTTGGCGCTTTAGCCTCCTCGCCCTTCCACTGTACTGAGGCTACCACCAGTTGCGACTTTGCTTAAATAGGATTCTATTCACACCTCTTCCGCCTATCGATAGCTTCCTGTCGTCGCTGATACACTTGTAGTTGAACAGCTGACCCCTTATCCCCTCCCGCCCCATCCATCCCCCTGTCTCATCCATTGCCTCCTCTAGACCCTGGGTACCTTGGGTTCCATTGACAAATGCCTCCATGGCTCCATCGAGGTAACGCCTTATACCCATGTTCCATTTGTTTCCATTCATCGAAAGAAACCCAAGAAACCCAACCCAAATTCTATAAAAAACTTATATTGTAAAT